TATCAAATGGCAGGCGTCTTGATGGTTTTCATTAGCCCTTTAGTTGACTTCAGGCTTCACAGAGGGGAAGGAACATCAAATTGAAAAAAGTCGAGAGGGGGGGGGGGCAGAAGAGTGTTTCGAAGATGTAAGAGACAAACACAAAGGTAGAACAAAGGTGAGGTGAGTATTGTGGAAATAGTCGAATATGGCATAGAGTGAGGTGATGGTAGTTTGAAGTGAGAAGTCAACTGCCAGTCAATAGACTTTTTTGCCGTATGAATATACGTTGCCCAGGGTGCACCACGTGGAGGTAAGTCCATCGCACACCCCGGGTAGAGTTGTTTGCTATGGAAAATTGAAAGTCACTGCCGAATCTTCTCCTTCACTGCGGAAAACGAATAGTATCTTACTAAATCGAAACAATTAAGGGCTGTTGGGTTTCTTGGCCTAAATTTGCTTTGCAATCTGAGGGTGGAATTATTTGTTCTGTCCTTATGTCCAGGCTAATTATCTTTTTAAAATGAGAATTGGCCAATAAGATGTAAAGTGTTCAATATCGAGGTTGCTGAAGTGTAAGGGGAGCAAGATATAGGGAAGTACTTCTTGAAAGTTGTGAGGGCATTTTAATTCCTTTTGTTTTCAATAGTCGGAAACCTTACAAGTTCCTATTTACCCCCTTTATCTTCAAGTCTAATAGCGATACTTGAATTGTTTTTATTAGGGAAATTTTAAAATTACTTATAATTTCAGTGTCACTGCCATACGTACAATAGTACCCCACTATGATTGGCATTTGAATTTCCCCAAATTTTTATTCTCATACTTCACAGAATTATTTCATAGGGGTCCAAAGTACTAAATGCACTGCTAGAATTATCAAAAAACCTAGTTTGAATTGTCAAATTCTCAGGGAGTCCTTCCCAAGAATGACATAAGTTGGAGAAATCCCAAAGAAGCAGGAAAATTCCCACTAGACGTTAACATTCAATATCAGTGTCTTAATTTATTAATTTTCCACTGTCACATTTCATCAAAGTCTTCATTTTCTAACTAATTTGCGGATGAGAATTTGTTGCTCCTAAGGAGATAAATTCTGTTGTTGATTTAAATCCCTCGAAACACAAGTCCATCAAAAGTAAAGTCAAATCTGCTTCTCAAATACACATATAATGTAAATTTCTTTCAGAAATGAGCATCAGGTGACTTTATATTTGTAAATTTAGAGAAAAATAAACAGTAGATATTGATATGTCAAAAATAGAAAAATCGTACATAAAGTCTTGTGGCTTGTGAAGCAATGATTTTTTCACCAACGTGCCATGTTTGAAGTATGAATAATCGAATGTATGCGTTACAATAAAAACAGTACTAAATCATGCCAAAACTGAAATAATTAAAATACATTAGGCCTTCGAAACGTCAAATTTAGTTCAAGTTTAAACTTATATTGATATTTCTATGCTACTAAGCAGTTGAAAAGTGGGTCATCAATCGAGGAAGTAGGAAGATATCACTATGATCATAAATTTCATCATGTCTTGATACGTTAATATCATATATAAAAATAAAAAAAGAGGAACACAAAAATTGCGAAATTCAAGCCATGTATGTGGAAATGAAATAGGGAGAATAAGTAACCATTAAGACATCAACATATTTGTAAAGTTGCAAGCACTCGATCAGCGTTAATGTGTGTAAAGATGTAATATTTTTAAATAAAATGAATTAATAATTTCATGCGGCCACTATTCCTTACGCCTAGTCTTTTTGGTGACTGAATTAAAGTCACATTTTACCTAGATATTGGGACGGGTCAAACTGGATATATTAATTCACATAAACAAGGAAATAGTGACAAAAATTCTTTTGCATTTTCATCTTTACCAGGAAAAGGACAGGTCGGTAGAAGCACTTCATTTAAAGGAAAATATTTCAATCAAAGGATATTATTTTTAATGCCATGTATTATTAAAAAAATGACTCAAAAAGTAAAACAAGATCATTTCAAGGAATGCAAGTTTTATATGTTGCTACAAATTTAATAACGGAATATGATCTTTTCTGCAGGTAACCGTACATTTATTTTCTTTAAGTAATTTTACCAGTTATAAATGAAGTCCAAAAACCACGCCAAACCCTGATAACTTTTAAATTGTCAAAATAAGACAATATATCATTTTAAAAAGCTATTCTATTTTATGAACGATCCAGCCACATCCTTCAATAAAATAGGAACAACTAAGAAACTAGGAATATTGCATGGCAGAAATTAACTCACAAACGCATTCGAAAATAACGACTTTTATTAAAAATTAATAACAGCTGTTCATTTTAAGGAACCAAATGATTCCCAACCTAATGTTACAATGCAACCAACACAGAAAGTTTTAAACTTTAAAGCTTTAAGGTCAATCCGATTTAGGTGATAATCTTAGGATCACATCAACTAAGTGTTTTCCTCTGGTTCTCAATTATTTTACCTCCATATACGTTATTTATCAATAAATTAAAGTTGAAGTATAGGTTGAGGAAAAGGGGCTCTTAAAAGGCAGTAAAATTAATTATAATTAATTTTTTTGCTAAACAAAAATGATTTAAAAGTTGAAATTTTATGTATTAAATAAATATTACATGATTTAATTGAACCCTAACTAACTATTTTATGTCCACGAACGTCTAGCTTCTAGGTCAAAGGTAGCCCATGAACTACCCTTGAAATATATAACCCAATTGTTAAATACTTTAAATGGCATATGACAATTGCATGCAATGGTCTCTCATATAAAATGTAATTCTGCGTCTCTACGCAGTACAGATGAAATATTAAACATATTGGGTGTATGTGGATTTACTTTCTTTAATATCTTAGGTTGATGTTAAATATGGCTTATCAAACAATGAAGCATCACTTAGATTGGAGCAAATTGGTCCGAACGAATTTAAGGCCGATCCACCAGATCCACTTTGGCTTAAATATCTAAAACAATTCCTTGAACCGATGATTGGCCTTTTAATTGCTTCGGCTTCTATTAGCATTCTTATGGGTCAATTCGATGATGCAGTTAGTATATCAGCTGTAAGTTTATTGGTTAACTTGCTTACCATTTGATCCAATTAGGCGATTTTTATTGTTGTTACCGTAGGATTTATTCAAGGATACAGATCAGAAAAGGCGATTGAATCTCTGAAAAAGTTAATGCCACCAAAGTGTAATTGGTATGAAATCGATATTTTTTTCAATTAATCTAACCAGTTTACGGGAAGGAAAGTTACATTCAATACTAGCATCAACTCTGGTTCCTGGTGATGTTGTCTACCTCTCATTTGGTGATCGCGTACCTGCTGATTTGCGCATTATCGAGTCCAACGACTTGCGTATTGATGAATCAAATTTGACGGGTGAAAACAAACCAGTTGCAAAGCATTCTAGTATTCTGCCTTCTCATGCCTCCATATCTTTAGCCGACCCACTTGAAACTTCATCCTCTTCTCTGTCCCTCAATGGTAGTGGTTTTCCATCTTCAGTGATAAAGCGGACCGAGAGTTTTAATTCTTCCTCCTGGGGTGATGGTGAGACAGTAATATCGTTTGAGAATACTAAAGCAGCTGCTATTATTCCGCCGCAAAGAATCGAAGGAGCTCATCGTCTAACCAACATTGGTTTCATGGGCACATTGGTTCGAGCAGGAAATGCGATTGGTGTTGTCATAGCAACTGGTGAATACTCCGAATTCGGAGAGGTATTCAAGATGATGCAAAATGAAGAAGCACCAAGAACACCTCTTCAAAAGAGTATGGACCGACTGGGAAAGCATTTATCAATGATTTCGGGTGCTATTATTTTTTGTATTGCTGTGGTTGGATTAATTCAGGGCAGAAATATCCTCGAGTTGATTACTGTTGCTGTCAGGTAAGTGATTTCCTCACTCTTGAACGTACCATTTGGATTAAAAGGCTTACAATTCTTCTTTCTTTCATAGCCTTGCCGTTGCGGCTATTCCAGAAGGCCTACCTATTGTGGTCACTGTAACTTTAGCCATTGGTCAGATGCGAATGGCCGCCAGAAACGCCATTATTAAAAAGCTGCCTGCGGTTGAAACACTAGGTAAGCTGCTTTTTTATTATTATACATGACATTTTCTTATTATCAAAATATCGGATACCTTTGTATACACTATCAGTATGAATGAATAGCCTAACTAGATAGATGGCGCTAATTAAGTAGCTAAACCTTACGTATTGCCGCGTCACGGGTTAATGGGAGATGTTTTAACTGAAAACATTCGGGGATGTCTTTTAATTTCTCCTGGCGAGGAACGTTAACCTCTTTTCTTTAAAGCATTGGGATTATACGCAACTTTCCATCATGTCTTAGTGAAATCGAAACTAGTTAATAGTATTATGGGAAGTTCTGGCGAACAACCACAATTCTCTCTAGTTGGGGACCTATAATCTTCCCAAGAGGTGGCTACATTCGTATTTACCCTTATCCAAAGTGATTTTTGTACTTTTGAAGGTTTAGGTCCTTTTATTTTGAACTCAAAGAGAAAATGGTTTTATTGATTAGAAGTTTTAGTCTTACTGCCATTATTTGAGTTCGCGATTTTATTATCTTGGTACATTTTTCTCGACCCTGGACGCTTTGCTCAAAATGCTTATGGACGTATCTTATGATACAAATATCTTTCAAAAGTATACGTCGGAAATAGTAGCTCCATGTTGATTAGTGGGTAGTGCAACCGTCGATGTGCAGGTCTGCTATGCCAGAGGTTGGAGGTTCAATACTCGATGTATCCAATTGGCGTGGCCAATCACAGTGGTGGAAAGATAGCATGATTTTCCATTTTCAAGAGATTCTGGCCTTACTTGCACAAAATATAAATTTCAAAAGGCTCCATGCATTACTTTCCTGTTAACTGTGTCTCTTAGGGTCAGTGAAAACACAAACTTAGTTTCACTTATCTGATTTAAGCCTCTTACAATCATTAGCGTATACACTGTAATTGCTAGGACAGTGCTACCTTAAAATAACCTGTGATACCTAAGTGTGCAATACAATACGCACACATGTGTAACTCTAAAGTGCTCATTATTTTATTTGCAGTCATAAAGAGCCTCTTGCAATGGTGGTATATTGTTGCGGTCAGCCCCCACTGCTACACACTTTCGAGATAATAAGCAATACTATCCATCCGAGAATATCAATTTTATTTGACTGTTAAAATGGGTGAAGATAGATATGCTTACTATAAAATTCCTCTGGTCCCAGAGTCTAAAGCTACGTTGTGATTCAGATTAAGATATAGGCCATAGGACAGTCTTATTAGATCAGGGGTCGGATTAGACAAATTCGAATTTGAATGGCTAGAAGTGAATGAGAATGGGAATTATGAATTTTCACTCAGAGAAATTTTTGAGGAAATCTCTCACTTTAAAGTAGACGAATCCCACACACACTTCGTAAAGAGATGTTTCCACCATCCAAGTTTGCTTAGAGGAGCGTAAGTTTTAATATTACAGTTTCTTCTCTTGTCTCTCAATGAAATTGAGGTCGCCTTGCCATTGGCACAAAGACTGTGATCCCTCAATTGGATTTCGAGTTATTTCAATCTTTATTAACATGGCAATGCTGTGTAGGTTAATGAGGTATGGTACGGAGGAGGTGGGTCAGGAAGTCAAGGCATCTTCCATAACGGAAGCATTAAGCTGTGGCTTACTTCCCCCATAAGGAGTGGATTTTATATAATGTTGTGCTAGTTTATAATTTTCTTGATTGCGTCACCTAATTTAATGAGATAATTTGATCTTGCAGTTGTTTTATTATGCCATCTCAAGTTACACTTATCTCGCCTTAGACACGAGATCAGCATAGGCGTGCTCACTCAAGGTGGCTATATTATATCAAATTCTTCACATTGATTTGTATTGCTCTTAGTATAGAACAATCTTAAATTATTTGGAGGGAAATATAATCGAGATCAGCCGGTTCCAAGTAGACGAACTTATAAAATATCAAAGTAAAGGATACTTAACAGCTCTACTACTACTTTGACAACAATTAAAAATAGGCATTAGGCTCTTATGTTGTTTTTTTGTTGTTAGACGTTGGGAATTGATGCTTTGACTATCATCTGGTTATAGTGTTATCGGATTATTGTATCGAGATGTACCGTTCATTTTAGGCGTTGCCATGAGGAACTGTGATAAGTCCCATTAAGGTTGATTACCCTTTGGTAGATTGAAAATGTTGCATCATCGTTAAATGTTGATAGTTAGTCTTGTCGATCGATTATATGGATTTTTCCTTTTGCAAAGATTTTCATGAAATAATCGACTTCTTTGAGGGCGTTGGGGTTGGGGGATTCCTTCTAAATTCTGTGCCTATAAAAGAGTTGAAATTGTTCTTTTCATGATGTGGAGCTCCTACACTGGAGTATCGATTATTGGTATTTAAATAAAATTGCACTAGAAGTATTAGTGGCGTTCGGATGCACTTTTGCTAATGGTTCGCAATAGACTTAGAACTCCAACTCCAAAGTTGTTCAGTGCTATGCCACGAATGCCAAATAAAAACGCTCTATGACACGAAAGCTATCAAATTAATTAACGTTTCTTGCAATCAAACCTTGCGTAAAGTGGTATTATAGGAGCTGTTTCTTGAATAGCCCTTCCTACCACTAATTGGAATGTCCATTGCATTAGGCAGCTAACCACGAACCACCACCCTAGAGCCGCTAAATTACCAGCTCTGATTTACTCGGATTTAGAAGACGAGGGAATAGCTGAAAACATCTGGTGGTTAAATAAATAAAGAGACTTCATTTTCTGATAGAAGTTAGCCACTGTATCCAAAATTGTTGACGGAATGAAATGGTTTTCTTTTATTAGACGAAATGGGTGGGGGGGGGGGGGTATTTACCGATTTAAAATTGCAGATGCTGGTTTTTGAGAAATCCACTATTTGTTTATCTTAAGGTTGCGTAAACGTAATCTGCGCAGACAAGACGGGAACCATGACAAAGAATGAGATGACGGTAACTTGTATTATGACCGGTGGTCTGGAGCGAGCCAATGTCACCGGTGTTGGTTATAATCCAATCAATGGTGAAGTAACTTTAGAACAGGCTAATGGTCGCAATTCTGCTATAACTCATCCTAATCTTCGTCGATTAGTTGAGGTATAAACGCCACTCCGATTTCATATCATCGTTTAATACCAAACTAATGATTGATAATTCGTAATTAATTCCTGAAATTCTCTGTTGTTCGTCTAGATTGGCTACCTGTGCAATGATTCTTCCTTGAAGGGAGGCATTCTCCACGGTCAACCAACGGAAGGCGCTTTGCTTTGTCTTGGCGCGAAGGTATGCTGATCTCTCCTAACGCCTATTAATTAAATTTAGTGTGTTACTTCTCATTTTTCTCCCAGATGCAAATTTTCGATCCGAGATTAACTAATCCTCGAGTAAAGGAATGGCCCTTCTCTTCGGAAAGGAAGTTGATGGTTGTTCAAGTTTCGACTCCTCGACTTAGTGTAAGCTCATTCATTTACTCCTTTCACCAAACTACAACTACTCAGACTCCAAGAAGGGGAGGGGAGGGGGGGGGGGTGTAGAATAATCCCTATGACCCAAACAACATTCCTCCTCATTGGGGAAAGAAATTTGCTCATGCTGAACTTTTTGTGTAATAAGTGATTGCCTACTTGCCTTGTCTGCAATTGCAGCACTAATCGCCTCATTCACGGTCCTACACATCCCCCCTATAAGGATGTGGAAATTAAAGAAAGTGATAATTCAGTACACAAACGATGAAAGTCTCGCTTGAGTGAACCGTAAATACTCGGTATTGGCTCCTCGTCAATATATATATATATATATATATATGGAGTTTGTTTCGTTGCAAAGTCTGGACTTAATATTGTTAAAGTTCTTTACTTTTTGATCTTTGTTCTTAAAAAAGACCATCCACCATAATTAAGTAATTCCTCACTTTGGGCACAAATTATGAAATTTGAACTTGGAAGTTAAGCGCGTGTTTGTGTAATTAGAATTGCGTTTTTTTTGTTTCAATATCAACATCTCTTAATGGGACTATGCAACTTTTTTTCCACAATGACACTTATTTTTATCCTGCTCTTGTTTATAATATGCGTGATGGTGGTTAGTGGTTATTGGGTTGGACAATTGTATCGAGACAGAGCCCTGCACATATTCCTCTCACTTTATAATCAATTGGTCAACAAGGTCCGCGCGTCTGTTATTTTTTGTAGCACCGATCAATCGATTAATCTTCTCACTACTATCCCCTAGAGATGGTTGTATTATGCCACACTCTGGCGGGGATTATAAAATTGACTATTTAAGCTGGCTGAAATTTAGGCACAAAGTTTTTTATGCTACATTAATGTGCCCCTTGTGTTCTTTTATCGTTAATGAAGATGGTATACAATGCATTTTTTCAGACAAGCTGACCCTGGCTGGAGTAGGAAGCAAGTGACACTGGAATGGGTTCGGGTAGTTAGTACCTCTCATCTCACCCCGACAAATGCATGCAGCAGCCTTTTAAGCAGTCTTGTGGGGTTAATTGAAGTGTGGCTAGTGGATTTCACGGAGTTAGCTCATCACATGTCTCTGCAAGAGCACAGCCTTAAGGTCGTTCTTCTCAAAGTATTAAGAGTCTCTGCAGTATATAGTCATTTTTTTACTTTAGAACCCTTGCACATCCAGTTTCTTCCTGAAAGGCGCCCCAGACCGAGTTCTTCCACTCTGCACTTCCTATCGTACAGCGTGTACCTCTCCCAATGAATTAGGTACTTTGGTAACAATGGATGAAGCAAAACGAGCATCAATTCTTGCTGAAGCAGCGCGAATGGCTTTAGACGGAGGACTGAGAATTCTAGCACTTGCTGAAGGAAATCGTGTTGAGGGTGACTTTGTCTTTGCTGGGCTTGTTGGCCTTCTAGATCCCCCCAGACCTGATATAGAAGGTGCTGTGGAGATCTGCTATCGATCTGGTGTGAGGGTTATCATGATTACTGGCGATTCAAAGGAGACGGCTTGTGCTATTGGTGAGTTTCCTGGTCTTTTGTGCATTTCGATGGGGGAGGGGGGGGGGATCATAATGGGATATAATTTTATAAAGTTGAACTAGTTTAAATGCAGCTGATATCCACCTCAGAAGGCAGGCATATAAACATATCAACGCGCGTGGACTGATGAATAGATCGATGTTGGATTCAGTATTTTGCGTCACAACCCCTAACTAATGCACATTAATGGCTTCCACCAGACGTGCATAATCTCTATCTCTCTCTCTCAAAGAGTCTGGGCTGAACTTTTAAGCCGTTAATGGAGTGATAATCTCCGAACGTCTAGAAATCCGTTGCTTTAGTCTACTTATTAGTACTTAAGTTACCAATTCTTTCATTTAGGTTCGCGTTTGTCTCTATATCGACCGGGTGATATCTGCCTAAGTGGAGAAGAGGTTGAAGAGATGGATCTTCATCAATTACAATCACAAATCCATTGCGTCACCGTCTTCTATCGCACAGGTCCGAAACATAAGTGCAAAATCGTCAAGGTATGCCTTTTTTACTTTTTTGCTCTCTAGGTAGTAAACAGTAATTTATCGCTTAAATACGTTCTTGAAGGCTCTACAAAAGCGGGGATTAGTGGTTGCCATGACAGGAGACGGTGTAAACGATGCCATTGCTCTCAAGTCAGCCGACATTGGCATTGCCATGGGAGCAAGTGGTACGGATGTTTGCAAAGAAGCGGCGGATGTAGTTCTTCTTGACGACGCATTCTCTTCGGTATTAGCAGCGATGGAGGAGGGCAAGGCCCTCTTTGCTAATATTTGCAACTTCATTCGATTCCAACTCTCCACGTATGCCATTTCTCTGTCCTTATTGAGGAAAATCTACTGAACTGATATTATTAGTAGATGTCTATTTGCGTTTTGTAGTTCAATTGCCGCGTTGTCGTTGATAGCCCTGTCAACTGTTCTTTCATTACCGAATCCCCTCAATGCAATGCAAATTCTTTATATTAATATCCTTATGGACGGGCCACCGGCACAGTCTCTTGGTGTGGAACCACCAGATGCAGACGTAAGTCAAGAGCAATTAATTTTTGCTAATGATGCTCATTGTGTTTGGTAACGATGAAGTCTTTCATTTCCACTCCCATTTGCTTGCATACATGCACGTTGGCAACTCTTTTTCCATCTTTCAAACAAGGGCATTTATTTATATCAGATGGCAGGCGTTTTGATAGTCATCATTAGCCCTTTAGTTGACTTCGGTCTTCACAGAGGGGAGGAGGAACATCAAAGTGAAAAAAGTCGAAAGAGGGGGGGGGGACAGAAGAGTGTTTCAAAGATGTAAAAGAGACAGACACAAAGGTAGAAACAATGTGAGTACTGTGGAAGTGGTTGAATATGACATACAGTGGGTTGATGGTAGTTTGAAGTGAGAGGTCAACTGCCAGTCAATAGACTTTTTTGCCGTATGAGTATACGTTGCCCAGAGAGCACCACGTGGAGGTAAGTCTACCGCACACCACTCAAACAAGCGCATAAGTCTTGTCCTAGTATCCGGCAAATTATAATTTCGAAATTGTTGTCGAAAGCCTATGAAAACCGATATCTAGTGTAATTTCATCTAGTTACATTCAGATCTAAGCATTAGGCAGTTAAAACGCTTTTGAATGCCCTAAGTCACGAAGGCCGTGTCCAGGTTATAACTTTCCGCTGCTTTAGGTGAATGATTTGGTGGGTGTTATACCCCCTGTTGTCCAAAGTATGTTTTTGTTTGAACTGCTCATCAAGTTTAAATTAAGTTTAGCATTCAAGATCCCAATCGCTTAAAGGCTATTTTCCTGAATACATTAGGTCTTGTAAGCTTCCTTTTGCGTGAATTTACAGAGGGTGTTCAAAGAAAACCCATTTAAGATAAACAGCAGGCGCTTAATCACTCAGGTGACACTGAGCCACCTATTGAACACCTCCGCACTTCCTACATTTGAGTGAAATTCAGACTATTTCTTTCATGGGGGCCATGGGTGTCACTGACCACTTGATGACCACCTCGACGGTCCGATCTGGCTGACTAAAGGGAAAGTGTAGAGATATTAACGAGGCAAATAGAGATAAGAGGGTTTGCACATTAATAGGGCATTTAAAAAAACGTCTAAGAAGTGGAGATGGAGAACTTTTTTGAGGCAGATATAACAAACAGACTGAGCAAATTAATGTTGTCATAGTGCGGCAGTGATGAACGCAACCATACAATTTGCTTTACAAGGCTGGAGGGAAAAGTTGACTTGATGAAAATGTTTTTCGAATTTAGGTTACTTACTATGGACAGTGTAAGTCAATTTGTTGTGTTTTTTTGCCAGGTTGTGAGTCAACCACCGCGTCACGTCCACGAGTCCATTTTGGATAAACGTTTGATGAAGAACGTCCTAATTTCCTCCCTTATGATTGTGGGTGGAACTCTTTTCATATTCCATCGAGAAATGGCTGCGGACGGAAAAGTCACTCCTCGTGACACAACCATGACATTCACTTGCTTTGTTCTTTTCGATATGTTTAATGCGCTGTCTTGCAGATCACAGGTTTGTTCGCATTCTTGTTTGTACTACTACTTATATTGCTTAGGTAGTAGCTATCACTTTTAATTTTTTGCGTTTTAGAAGAAGTCCATATTTCAAATTGGTTTCTTCTCGAATCGTGTATTTGTGATTGCCGTGAGCCTCTCGCTGATTGGTCAGCTCTTTGTGATTTACTTCCCACCACTCCAATCTGTCTTTCAAACTGAGCCCATTTATATCTGCGGTAAGTGGGTTGTGCTTTGACTTTGTGTGATTTTTGGAACACCTATGTCGCTTATGCACAGTGAGGAGTGAAATATCTTTTTTAGCTAATTTTACTTAATTCTAGTGCAAATCTATGTAGCGATTGTGGTGTGTTCCTAATTGGTCCTTTCAGATGTAATGTGGTTGTAGTTGCTGAAATCTCAATAGGATTGATTTTCAACGATCGGGTATAATGGAAGTTCAGTAGCAAAAATCGTGCTGGTAGTATATGGGTTTGGTTGGCTGCTTGGCTAGCCAGTCTGGCCAATCTTAGCTGGCGGAGTGACGCGCAAAGGTTACAAGACACGTAACCTTCCTGAACGTACTTCATTCAAATTTTCCATACAATTCCGCCTTCGCGCACGCAGTTTAGACATTTAGTCCACCTCACTTTCCTCGATGGTCGTCCAATGTATCAACCAAATCCATCACAACTCTCATACACATTGTTAGCATTCAAGAACATAAGGTTTTAAATGCGAGATCCCTAAGCAGAAGTCGGAAAAAATCAGAATTTTTTTCGTATCTAATTGGAGATGGAAATTGAGTCGATTTGAAGGCTGCCTGTTGCAGAATTAGAAATACTCAGTCTGATCATGGGAGGAATCGATTGGGCTACTTTTCGACCCGAGTGAAGGAGAGCCTTTCAAATCCTTTAGGGGAACTTTTTAAAACACTTAACGCGGCCAGAACTCAGGCTCACTGGAGTTGCATTCTAAGTCGCTTAGTTTAGATCAGAGTTAATTCTTTCGATTTTCTATTCACATCAATAGGTATGCACCGATAAGCAGTGATCTCCCCACCTTTGTCTTGACAATCACACAAAATTAGACAGTATTTTTAACAGTGTTACTGATACCGGCTGAATAGCTCACTTTTATCTATCTCATCTTGATCGATATTATTTGTTCCGCATACAGCATAAATTGATTTGCTATTTACGTGTATGATTGGGTCATGATATCCTCATTTTCCATCTCCTGTTGATAATCTCTTCTATCTTAGACTGGCTACTACTTCTGGCCATTTCAAGCAGTGTTTTTGTAGTCTCCGAGTTCCGCAAATCGCACTTGACTTTGTCAAAACTCCTTCGACCTCGAAAGCTCTTTCGTTTACCGCGCCGTTTCCAAGGTTCTATGGCTTCTTCCAAAACGATTGTCTAATCTCTCAATACTCGCTGCTTCTCTGCCTTCTCTTATTCTTCTATTTTCTGGTCTTTGTTCTCTTCCTCCTCTCTGTGGTCTTGGATTAAGCGTTACATCCCACATCTAACATTTTAATAATATAAAACAGTATTTATTATGATTCTAGTAGTTTTGATGTGATTATCGCACTATGCCTGTCATGCCTAAAGTTTATTTTCACTACTGGTCTTCCGCAGTGTCTTACGGAAATATTTAATTATCTATTTAGGAAGGAAGTTCGTGAAGTGTTTAGTTAGCGGTTTCGATTGGCTCGAATTTGGAAGATGGAAGAGTTGTTGTGTGAGTCTCATTGGCATACATAAGGATTGGCTTATGGTCTGAAAACTTGGTTGTCCCAGAATGGTGACATACCCGATTGAGACCGGGTTATATATACCGGGCTTAAAAGTTCAAATGCGGTCTTTCAGTTTTTCTCTATTTGGGACTAAAGTTTGTCTCTCGCATACTGGATTAGTCATTTCGAATGCACAATGCGCGAGCATATACATAAATATTTTTTTCCTAGTTGAAATATTTTACTTCTGCATTATCCCCCATGGGCGCCTATTCGGATGGTTGGATTTTGGTCCCAAAAAATAGTTTCATGAAATTGCATTGTCCATTTAACCACCCTGTGCGGATTTCCCGAGAGTTCTGGTAATAGACAAAGTTGTTTATCTCAAATAGCAGGCGTTTTGAGAGTCCTCGTTAGCCCATTAGCTGACTTCGGGCTTCACAGAGAGGGGGAGGAACGTTAAAGTAACAAAAAGTCGAGAGGGGGGGACCGAATAATGTTTCACAGATGTAACAGAGACAGACAGACAGACACAAAGACAGAGAAAAGGTAAGATGAGTACTAGGGAAGGGGTCGAATATGACATAGAGTCGGGTCATGGTAGTTTGAAGTGAGAGGTCAACTGTCGATTAATTGACTTTTTGCCGTATGAGTATATGTTGCCCAGGGTGCACTATGTGGAGGTAAGTCATGGCACACCCGTAGTAGACAAAGTAGACTGCAGGCAGTGAGTAAGTGTTTGTATTATAATCCTCAAACCAGTTTCACCACGGAAATGATTTTAAGCTATGTCTATGCCTATTATCAAGCATTGTAATTGTAATTAACACAACATGCTTATTTTCCTTTATAAATTATTTGTAAATTTTGATAAAGTAATATCATTTGTACTGTGTTTGAGTACACATTGGTCTCGTTCTTTTTATCACTCTAAGCCTCAAGATAACTGGGTCTAAAGCCAGTATTAAGTGGAAAGCGGATAATTTTATTCTTGCATTGTACTAATATGAGCAATTTCGGGTCAAGTAGTATATATTGTTACAAATATAATGTAAAAGGGGCGCTGTAGAGGGTGGGCGGATTACTAAAAATGATTGGCCCAGTCAGAATCATATCTACCATCTATGAATTCAATTAATTCCTCCAACTTTCTCTTCACTTCTCTAAAGGTTGGACGAGAGTCTTGACTGAGTTGCCAACAGTCTGTCATAAGTGCGTAGTACTCTTCTGGACATAGGGAAGGTCTTTCGAGAGTTTCACCTCTTTGAATAGCCCTGCCGGCATCATCTTTGTCCTTGTAGTCTAAAAGGCATATAATTGCAAATGCTAAATATCTACTATTGCTTCAATATGCAAAGTCGAAGACAATAAGTTAAGTGTGCATTGAGGTCAACCTAGTGTATTCTTAATGGCAAACCGCTTTGTCGTATTGAGATAAATGGAAGTGGAGACTAAATTGAAGGCTCCCGTAAGTGCGATTCTAACTTTTCCCTTGTTTTAAATCAAACCGCGAGGTCTTTTCCCTCAGTTTTCATTCAATGCTAGGGAAAGTTGCTGCCTTAATTAAGTGAAAAGTTGAATTACTGCCATCTTTTAAGCAAAACCAACTTATTACCTTAATTCGCATTGATTGATGCACCTTCAATTTGTTACTGAAGATTATTCATTTTGTTTAATTTCGAATGGTATCTTTTAATACCCTTGCTAGTTATTTCAGAATTAACTAACTATGGAATAAGGCAAAAGTCGATTCCCAACTCGTAATGATTTCCTTCCTCGCTGTAGTTGATAGCTCCAAACGATTGTTGAACTTAGAATGAACAAACAAGGGGATCGGGAGAGAAGAAGGCTACAGATACGTCTTTGCATGAACTTGCGGTGGTGAGATACTTAATCTGGTTAGTTAGTTAGTCAGTTAACTCACGTTCATATGGTGTGGCTCCGTGAGTGAAGACTTCGTAGGATAAAATGCCGAATTGCCAGACATCGCTCTTTGAATTTACCATACCCTCGTTCCCCAGTGCTTCTGGTGACGACCATCGAACGGGTGTTTTCAAATCTGAAGTAATTGAATGCAAATTAAAACAAATTAAAATATTGAATTAATATGGTAATTGCAAGTCCAGAGCCGACCTATATTTAACTTCGATATTTGTTTCGAGCCATCAGATGACTATTTCATCTATTTCAAGAGTTCGCTAAAATCTGACAACTTAGAGTCACACGATTGTTGTAGACCATTTGTTTGTTTTTATTGGAACCAATTACACAAGCAAATGCGATTTCATCACTGTGTTACCATACCACTCCATAAATATTTTGTTATTGTTTGATTATTGCAAAAATATTGAATGAAAGTAGAAGAACTGCAAAAGCATGTCGATTTTAAATTGTAAAAATTGAGTGAAGAAGCATTTACCTAGAACTGAGTCAAGATAAACAAGGGGGTGGACCTCTGATATGGAGTCTGATTGGCTAGGTGGCAGTACAGTTATTTTAAGTGAGTTTGTTGACGCAATGCACAAATTGAGATTGACGCCTAATTGCTCTAAATCTTGCAAAATGTATTCTTAGTACAGAAGAGAACTGCATGCTTGATTATTTATTGCGCGTCTTTATATTTCATGTGGTAAACTCCTTGTAAAGCCTAAAGTAAACTATGCTTCGGATGGGCTCACATTTGTGGCAGATTTTGAAAGCACAACAATATTTTCACGTTCAGATAATCAGAACAACGAATTTCTATGCCATGAGAGCACATAGAGGCGATCAAATGTAATAAAAACCTTCATCAAACATTCTTCCTACTTCTGAATACCGCTTACACATGAAAAATCAGATACTGAAATTCAAAACTTGAGCATCATGAGACAGATGTCTGGAAATACTTGATTAATGATAAAAAAGTACCTGAAATCGGATTTGAGTCGAAATATGACTTTCTTTAACCCTTTTTATGGACGGTTCCCATTATTTGAAAATATTGCACTTTTATGATTTTACCAGATTAACAATAATTATTAGATCAACCCCTCTAAATAGTGACATTACAGACAATCGTAAAACCCTTGAAACCATCGTGCATACTTCTGGACGGAAATATTCTTTCCAAGATATAGGCACACAAGTCTGTGTCTCGAGACATGCTAAACAATCATCTTCCGATTCAATTTATTGTCATCATTCTTCTGATAGGAGTTGGAGAAGTTTGTAGTTTTGACGTTGGAAAATTATAGAGAGGGAAATTTATCATTGATCTTGAAGTAAAAGTGATCATTTCATAGAGTCCACACTTTTACACTGAT